TTCCCTTTCTTCTCCCTTTTTTTTCTTTTTTTCAGCAGCTCTAACATTACTCATTCTGCATCCATTTTGACTTCAGCATCTGAGTGACATTTTCTTTATTGCTCATCAGGAATTTCAGTAGGTCTGTATTCTAGGCCCTCTGCAAGTATATACCTGCAGATACATAACTAATTAAGCTGACTATATTCCTCTTTAGAAGGTAAGAGATGCTGCTACATGTGAAGTATTAATGGACTACAATATTATTGCAATTTTTGCTAGTGTGGTATTTATTTATATGCTATGATTTTAGTAGGGTTTTTTTCTGACTAAAAATTTAAAACATCTGCTCTTTAGACAATGTAAATCATATAAAACTTACGTGCATTTAAAAGACTAGGCAGCCAAAAACTTCCTATCTACAGTCTAGCAGCCTTTGCTTATTTTTCTCTATAGAAAAAATAGAAAATGCAAAAGGTAATGTCATACACATAAAAAATGGGTGTGCAAATAACTGCTAAACAGTGCTCTTTTGGTCCTCTTAATCTTCCTTCTAAGTTCCTGCCTATTGCCTTTTTACAACTATTTGATCTTGCCTTTACATGTTTTTTTAATTGCTGCCTTAGAAACTGCTGTCATGAGGGTGATGCAGGCCCTCAGTGTGGGAATCTTCACAGCAGCAGAAGGATGCCTATAGCAGCAAGATTACACCCTTGAATTTAGAGGAACAAGCTCTTATACCAACAGAGTTAGAAGACCATGAGTTGGTTTCTGGCAGAAGCTGTGGTTAGGCAAGAATTCCTGAAAGCCCAGGATAGACAGTCTTTGTCCAGGGTAGGTGGCAGGGTCCTCTACTCTGTCAAGTGTTGCGGAAACCCAGATCCTGCCTGGAGCCTGTACCGGGCATTGAAGTTCCTAGACTCTTCGCTCTTTGTTTCTTGGAGAGTTGTCATGCCTATTATTGCCAGACCAAAGATTTAAAGAGTTGAGAATTCAGCTGCCAAGAGTCATGTTGTAGATTAAAATACCATGGAATTTAGAAATAAACAGAAAGTGTGCTAAAATTCTGACTTGGTAACAAAAACTCAGCATCAGCAGAGTCGATGTCCTCTAGGAGTCAAACGGGGCTGAGTTAGGCTCCAGATTGTAGGTTTTTTTAAATAAACAAAGATCTTAGGCATGCTTTTAGTCTGTTCTGGAAAATGAAAGGATTGTCTGCATTTTTTCCCTTGATTTCTTTTCTCTTCCTAGGCATTTAAAAAATAATAATAAAAACCCACAAATTAACGACATGAGCAGAAAATTACAAAATACTTAGCTCAGTGCCAATCAGTCCTAGACAAAGCAGTTAATTTCACCCCTCTGGTTTTGAATACCAGATACGGTATTCATTCATAATTGCATTCCCATAAGACTGCTGCACACCTCCACAATGAACGACCATCGTTTAATGGTGGTATCTGCCCGTGTATTACTTGAGAATGAATGAATTGTTCTCTTACAAGTTACAAAGTGGGTGCGGTTATTCACTGGATTGTGAGTCAGTATTTCAAAATCATGCTTGATAGTCAGGAAGAACAAGTATTTCAGCGCAAACCTATCACCTTTCTACTAAGTGTGTAAAATCTGTTTTAAGATATGACTCTCTTTGCTTTCATGTAAAGCTGTTGTGGAATACAGGTTTAAAGTACCTAACCATGCTTTCTTTCTTTTAGATTGTGTTTTTGGAACAAACTGATCAGCAAGAACAGCTGGCTAAGAAGTGGGGCTTCAAAACGTCTGACATAAGAGAACTGAGTAACCAGTATGTGTTTTGTTTAGACTAGTTTCAGCAAATACCGTTTACTCTCTGAGTGAAGTAATGTGAGTCTCAGTGAATACATATTGGCAAGGAGCACATTAAATCCATTCTCATGGGCAAAACTCCCTTTCAGCTCTGTGAGAGCTCTTAACCCAAGAGCTGCCTGCGTCCTGGATGGGACTTGGAGGGTGGACGGTCCGTGTGCTTTTTGCATTCCTTGGTTTGGGACTGCAACCATGGATGAATTGTGCTGGCTTTTACACCGCACAGAACAAAATGCCATATTTAGCTTTCATATATGACCTCTTCTGTGCTTACAGAAGTAAATGACGTTCTTTCTTGAGATTACATTTTATATGCATTTTGTTAGCAGCAGGCTGTGCCTAACTAGCTCGAAACTCCAGACTTAGTAAATGTAGGTAACACTAACACTGCAGATATAAAACTCAATTGCTTGGGCTTTGACACACTTCCTAATAAAAGCTAATAAAATTAGAAGATTTAAACCTTCTAAACACAGAGCCTTGGATTTCTAACTGTATTGCAGCTAGAGCGTTCCTTTTTACTTCAGCCAGTGAAATTCCCCACCTTTCTGGTGAAGTGAAATGGTTTTGGATTGCACCTACTATGCTTTGCATGTAGTAGCACAACTGTAAACAACTTCTGGCTTAGAATCTAGAGCTGCAGTATAGTTTTAGTGTTCAGTTGTTAAAAAATCTGTGTGCTTTGTTGAAAAGCTAATCATACAGAATATATGAGTCATCAGATGTTTTCTTCACTTGAAATAGCCTGCGGAAAATGGAAGGTGCTGGGAATATGGATCAGATTGAGAAAGATCTTTCAGCATTTCTAGCATGCAGGAAAACAGGAAGAAGGGGAACTACAAAGAGACAAAATCAGTGTTCATTCAGTAGTCAGGGAGAAGGGAAGAGGAGTGAGAGAAATTTCATGCTGTATGGAGTTCCAGCACAAAAAAAAATAATTATAACAACTTCCTGGTAATGTTGGTATATTCATCCCTGTTATTGCATGAACACTACGTGACAACAAACAATATTACAGTTCCATTGTAAATATGCCTTTCCTGTCAAGATATTGAGCAGAGGTTTTTTTTCACCAGTGTCTGTGTTTGCATTTATAGACACAGTGGCTGTTCTTCCATTAAACCTTGAAATTCATTGATTGTATATATATCTATAGACACATATATAATGTAGAGGAAAACTGGGATATCGAAAGTTACAGTTGTAAATGTAATGGTCTGGCAGCTGGAGGCATTCCAAATATATCCATACTAGGAAGCAAGACTGTGCCCAAACCTCTTTTTTCAGGTGGATTGTACAGTGGAGTAATTTTAGTTATTGTGAAGTCAGTTTGGCTTTGTTTGTTGGTATTTAGTCTGGGTAAATATTAAAGATAATTGGATTCATCATATTGTTTTCTCTCAGTTAGCTATATATAAGTCTGTGTAAAAGTTGTTATTCAACTGCTTCATACCGTAAAAAGAGCATGGGTAGAAGTACAGTGGGAGTTGACAGGCTGATGCTGAAAGAGGAAGGTTAATCTGTATTCACCGTTTACTCTGGTGGATTTTGCTCAAGCATAGTGTTTAAAGCAAAACCACTTACCATGGAAAATTTTGTGACATTTCAGACTTTTTCA